AAGATGAGATGAAAGCCGGATACAAGCTTGGTCTCCATATCCATTTTTCTAGGGCCGGTCAGCCCTAATAAAAGCTCCTTAAGTTAGCTTTAGCCTGGGGTCTGAAAATAAATGAAGCATCCTAGATGAACCAAAGACTGAAAACAAAAAAAAATTGAATAGCATTTAAAAATATGCCCCAAGCGCTGTGTGAAGTATCGCAGTTGCTGACCTACTGATGTCAGCATTCTTGCCAACTTCAGATTTTTGTGGTTGGTAGATACAGTCAAAGTTGATGAAACAATTTGCAGATTTTATACCTAACAATGAAAATGTGCCTTTTGTTCCTAGAAAATAGGACATACTCAGGGAAGTCTCATGAATTAGTTTTGGAGTGACACCAGGTTTTGTGGCTTGAAATCTACTTCCAGGTAGCCTGGTAGTTGGTGGGGTTCTTCTCTGGGCAGATTAATTCATTCTAGAAAATGAATTGATGAGATAAGAGTAAGCATAGAAATACTCCAGGGTTTGGAAGACTTGCATTCCAATGTGGATAGTAAGCTAATTTGTTTATCTTAATCCCATCTTTGTGTTGAACTGCATTTCAAAATAATGACTCGTTCTGGAATCTCAGAGCTCTCCATGGAAGGGTACAGGCAGAGTACAGTAGTTAGATTCTCTTAAATTCACTGCTGCTTTGCTAAAAAAAAATCATCCTGTAATAAATACACTATTATAGAAATTTCTTTTCTCACAGAGTCCCAGATGAAAGCATTGACTCATTTATTTTACCTAATTATATTTAAGAAAAAATAATTTTATCAACAAAATAGTTACATTGATTATAATTCAGAAGTTATCTCTGAATTTTTTAATTCTATACCACTAAGTTAATTTACTTTACTAAAGTGGATAGCAACAGAAGAAATTTTATTTAAGCTAAATTGACCTTCTGATTACCCCTAATTTTGGATGATTCTTTTTTGGGGATAGTAGATTTAGGCATCCCTGAGAATGCCCCTTAAAGTGATGATACATTCTGAACTTCTTTTTTTCTCCTCTTTTCCCCTCTATGGACAGATTTGTCTACCCATCTTGGAGGAATATTTTCTCTAATTTCAGTGCCTTTTCTCTCTTTTTTTGTCCATCTGGAGAAATTCACTTAACTGTGCAGGAATCAGGTCAATGGGCATATTATCCATGAAAACTTAACCTACCTTCCTCCTTAATTCTGGCAGAACTGCATTCCTCCTTATGTGAACATTTCTGACCCCCATTACTGTGTATGTGCACAAATCTTTTTAAATTAAATTAAGCTTTTAACTTCATGATAGCTGTAAGTTCACATATAGTTGTAAGGGAGCTCTGTATACCATTTATCCCAGTCCCCTCTACCCTGTGGTAACATCTTTCAAAACTATGTGCAATATCACAACCAGAATATGGACACTGATACAGTCAAGATACAGACAATTCCATCACCACAAGCCTCTCTTGTTGCTCTTTAATAACCACACCCCTTTCTCCCTGGGTGACTGTTAACCTGTTTTTTATTTATGTAATTTTGTCATTTCAAGAATGTAAATGGAACAATACCTTTTGGGATTCGCTTTTTTTTTCCTCTCAGCATAATTCCCTGGAGACTCATCCAAGTTGCTGCATGTTGCATGTAATACTATTTCCTTTTTATTGCTGAGTAGTATTCTATGACATGGATGTAGCAACATTTGTGTAACCATTCACACATTGGATATTACATATAAAGCTGCTATGAACATTTATGTTCAGATTTAAGAGTACAGTTGCTAGGTGATATGGTAGTGGCGTGATCAGTGTCGTAAGAAACTACCAACCCGTTTTCTGGAGTGGCTGTACAATTTTGCATTCCTATCAGAAATGTATGAGTAATTCAGTTTCTCCACACCCTTGCCGGCATTTTTTGTTCTCTCTATTTTTTATTTTCGCCATGCTGATAAATGTGTAATGATATTTCACTGTGATTTTAATTTGTGTTTTTCCACAATGGCTCATAATGTTGAACATCTTTTCATGTGCATAATTGCCATCTGTGCATCTTTTTTGGCAAAATATATGTCCCTTTCCTTCTTCCTTTTTCTTTGTTTGTGCTAGGGATTGAACCTATGACCTCATGCATGCTAGACGTGCACTCTACCACTGAGCTACACCCTCCCCCTCCTCCCCATTTTCTATTGGATTGTCTTTTTACTGTTGAGTTTTGAGACTTCTTTCTATGGTTTAGATACTAGTCTTTTCATCAGATTTGTAGTTTGAAAATATTCTCTCCAAGTCTGTAGTCTTGTAGTCTTTTCATCTCTTCACATGGGCTGTCACAGAAAAAAATTTTTAAACTTTGATGAGGTCCAAATAATCCATTTTTTTCTTTTATGTACTGTGCATTTGATGTCGAGTCTAAGAACTCTAACCTAGCTCCAGGTCCTAAAGATGTTCTGCATCTCCCCAGAAGTTTCATAGCTTTGCATTTTATAATTTCTTGATCCATTTTGGGTTCAGTTTTGTGTCAGTTATGAGGTTGAAGTTGATGTCCACTTGCTTCACCACCGTTTGTTGAAAAAAACTATCCTTCCTCCATTGAATTACTTCCGTACCTTTGTCAAAAATCAGCTCAGAATATTTGTGTGGGCCTATTTCTGGGTTCTCTGTTTTGTTCCGTTCATCTGTGTGTTTACACCTCTGCCAGTATCTCATGGTGTTACTGTAGCTGCGATAGTTAACCTCAGACGGAGCGACTCCACCCATTTTATTCTTCTTTCTCAAGATTATTTAAGTTATTCTAGGGTCTGTGTCTTTCCTTATAATTTTTACAATAAACTTGCCTATGTCTTTAAAAAACCTTGCAGAGATTTTGATAGAAACTACATTAATCCTATAGATCAATTCAGGGAGATATGACATCTTTACTAT